CAACTGGAAACCTTTATAGCTTATGTAATAGTCTTTTTCCTGGGAGTCGTGTCCTTTTTCTGTTTGACTTCAGTTCCTGGGTTGGGCCTTCCCCAGTGAATGTTGTCAAAGACCCCAGGCCAGGGCTTTGGGCAGGTATATTGGGTTCTAGCTTTTATGGGATGCAGGGTAGAGATGTGAGAGCAGTTGGGCCAAGAAACAGCACTTACTTACCCATCTTCTTTCTAGTTACCACCGCTGTGAGTTCAAGATCCCTCTAGCCGTAAAGAAAGGTGAGTGCAGAAGTATCTCAGGTTAGAGGGGATGTGGAATTACTGGGTTAAGATGCAGGGAGAGGCAGCAGAGTGCTGGGTCAGGCTGGTTAAGTGTTTGCTCACTGTCTCTTCCCCAGAGCCTCAGCTCCTTTGGGATGGGTCCTTTGTTTTGGAGGCCATGAAGGCCTTCTCCTGTGACTGGGACTGTTGGCTAGTGGATGGAGGAGTTTCCTGTCTACAGATTATCATCCAGCACTCCTTACACATCCTTTGTTCCCCCTGCCAATTAGTGTGGCTCACACCAAGACTGGCCTTCCTTTGCTTTCCCACATCCTTCCCAACAACCTCTCTTTGCTCCCCATATTCTCCAACCACAGCAGGAAGGGTGACTAGGTCTGGGTTCTGCCTGTGGCTGGGGCTACAGCTAGCCAAGACCAGCCAAACCCAGCCTATACCATCTTCTCTTTCCAGAAAATGCAGGTGGTCAGACTGAAACATGCACAACCTACAGCAAGGTGAGCTCTTATTTCTGTCTAATAGTCTGAGAATAAGGTGGCTACGTATGTCTAGGTCCGTAAACTGGGCATTCCATTAGTCACAGCGTGGACTAGTCCTTGTTGACCTCTGCTGCCCCTGTCCCTTTTGCAGTGGGACAACATCCAGGAGCTTCTGGGCCATCCTGTGGAGAAGCCTGTTGTCTTGCACAGGTAAGTGGGAGGTGGTTGTGTCTGGCCACCCCATCCTGCTCCTTGAAGCTCAAAAGGCTTAAGGAAGTCTAGCAGTGGTTACTATACAAACTACACAAGTTTCTGGACTAGGGATGCAGCTCAGTATAGTGCCTAGCATGTGCCAGCCCTGGGCTAAATTCCAACCTCCGGGGTGGAGTGGCGGGAGGATATGTTGGTGTTGCTAAGACATACTTCCTGCCCCGTCATGTATGTTCAGATTAGATGAGGTGATCCTTGTGTTTACTTTAAGAGGTTGTCCCTGGTATAGCTTCCCTCCCCCTGCCCTGTCTCTCGGGGTCCTCTCTCCCCTTATTCACAACAAGCAGTTGTCTGACTCTCTGTCCTCAGCTCTCCTTTCCCATCAACTCTGCCTTGTGCTGTGTAGTTCATTACCTCGTGGTTGCAGTGCTAAGGTGCCCTCCCACCTGAAGGGCCTTCCTGACTTACCACCCCATTCAGTTCTGTAATAATTGTCCTAATTTGATCTCTGTTGCTATGGGAAGGAAAGGGTTTATTTGGCTTGCACATCTGGATTAAAATTCATCATTAAGGGGAGTCAGGGCAGGAACCATGGAGGGAAGCCACTTACTGGCTTGCTTTCCATGGCTTGTTCAGTTTTCTTTCTTTTGAGGAGTGGGTGGGTGGGTGGGTGGGTAGAAAGATTCTTTCTATGTAGCCCTAGCTGTCCTTGAACTCTCAGAGATCCATCTGCTCCTGCCTCCTGGATGCTGTGATTAAAGGCCTGTGCCACCATGCCCAGCTACAGCTTGTTTTCTTACACAACTCATACACAACTCAGCACCCCCTGCCCAGGAGTGGCATCATACATGGTGTGCTGGGCCCTCCCCCATCAATCATTAAGAATGCCCTACAGACATGCCCTCGTGCCAATCTGATGAGGCAGTTTCTCAGCTGAGAAAAGCAGCAACTTCCCTTTGATCTTTGAGTCATAGATGAACCTGAGTTTAATGAAGCTACTTCTTACCACTTGACCTTGAGGGCCTGTGTAGGAAACACTGTCATGAAAGACCACTGGCCAATAACCCACATCCCAGAAGGGACCGGGCCTTCTGCTGTTTGGCCTTTGTTTCGCTCTTTAATTGTGGATTCTCTGGCCCCAGGTCCTCATCCCCAAACAACACCAACCCATTTGGCTCCACATTTTGCTTTGGTCTTCAGCGGATGATCTTTGAGGTAAGTCCTGGAGGCCAAAGAAGCTGCTAAGGGCTTTGTGGTTGTAGCAAGAACAGGCAAGTGACTGAGAATTGTGGATTCTCCTCATCTGTCCATGCTGGACAGATGCACCCTTCCTCATCTCTGCTGTCAGAGGTTCAGAAATGTAGATAAGAGAGCCAGTGAGATAGCGCAGCAGGTAAAGGCGTGCACTGCCAGGCCTGAGGACCTGAGTTCAATCCCTGGTGTCCACATGGTAAAAGAGAACAGTCTCAGAAAGTTGTCCTCTGCCCTCCACAGGTATACTGTGGCAAGTGCATGCCCCTTGCCACAAACAAAATTAATAATAATGTAAAAAAGAAAACAATAGGTTAGGGAAATCTAGGGTCACAGAGCCTGAACAGGATGAGCCTATCAGCAGCAGTTCCTTAATTTGAATCAATAAGCAGTACAGCATGGTGAGGAACCTCAAAGCAAGTATGGCCAAACTTGGGCATGCTAATTCTTGAGTGTTATGTGGACGAGTGGCCTGGGCACCCCACGGGTTTGAGAGAGACTGGGGAGCCCATATTTTCAGGCTGGATCTAGATGCCATACCTCAGCAGGCCCTTTGCACTTGGAGAAAGACTAGATAAGTGGGTCTATGAAGTTCACATACGCTGTGAAGAACAGACAGACCCTTGAGCAGAAGTAAGCCCCACTGACAGGAAGTTGGTTCAGGAAATGCAGAGCCCAGGCCTGTACAAGTATGACATTTACATCCTTTACCGCCCAGTCCTGGGGACCTGTCTGCCTACATCCCTCCCTCCTGACCTGTTCTCTTCTCACACTAGGTCATGCAGAACAACCACATTGCCTCAGTGACCCTGTATGGCCCCCCTAGGCCTGGTGCCCACCTGAGAACAGCAGAGCTGCCCTGAGGACGTCAGTGCCCATTCCCCTCTGTCCATGGAACTGCATCACATCCAGCTCAGTGGGTCTCTGTGCCACCCTGCGTGTTTTCTTGAGCACCTTGGCAGTGTTGAAGGGCTCTGGGATTCGGAAGCGTTCAGAAGGAGGATTCGAGCTGAGTCTTCTACCTTGGGATAGAGAACCCAGATATTCCTCTGTCCAAAGCCTGCTGTTGCCAGCAGAGAACAGTCTGCAAAGAGAAGCACAAACTTTGGGCCTTGATACCTGGACCCAGGGCCTCTCAACTAACGTAATGAAGGACATGTCAGCCCCTGTCCTGCACACATAGGGAAGATGGGCTCTTTCTCTGGCTAAGAAAATAGGTGTCTGGGATGAGATCGGGTCCTGCTTTTGGCCCGACATTGCCATGTGGCCCTTACGGTGAGCAGAGCAGGTAGCATGTCCATAGTACTTGGTTGCAATATTTGCACTACATCCACTTTAGTTACTTGATGAGCTGGCTGTGGCTGGTGTGGCCCACATGCCCTTTTCTGTTTCTTTTGTGCACATGCTCCCTGTCATGCCCAGGTGGCACATCTGAGTGATTGAAATACAATTTTGTATCAGGTATGAACCTAGGTCCGGTTCCCACTGCTGCTCTGGGAACCAGCCTTCAAGGTCACCTGTGTCTCTTGGTCCAGCCTGGCTGACAGGGCTGCATGTTTCCATCTTGTTTGCCTCTTTTATTTAATGCCAAAGTGTTAGCCAAAGACACCTTCCTCCTTCTGTTACAGCATTCTGTTGTGCACTGTGGGCCAGCTCCCTGCCCCACTTGTGGGCACTGGCCTGGCCACTTGATTTAAGGCCTAGGGGCTCAAAGAAGATTGGGCTGCTGCGTTTCTTACATGGGTCTTGCTAATGGAAAGTCACATATATGTGCTTTAAATATTAATCCTTTTGAAAAGAATTGAGAAGAGAAACGTATAATTTTATCCCATTTTTAATATTTTGGTCTAGCAACTTGTGATACATAGATGACAATTTTGTGAGTTTTTCAAATGTGTGTACAGATTTTTGTAAATAATGACTTTTGTAATTAACTCATGTACAGCCTCATCTTGTATAGTTCATAATGAATGTGCAGGGGACCTGCCCCAGCTGTCTGTATGGTTCCTGGGCCTACAGCCAGGCTGTGTGGCACTCCCATGACTCTGATTGACAGGTGTCTTCCCATTTGGACCTTGGTCTGGCCAGAGACCCTGCACACCCCACTGTCAGGGTAGCCAGGACTGTTCCCATCCTCTTGAACAGAGGAAACTTCCTCATCCCCTTTCCAATAAAGCACCTATGCCCTCAGTGACAGCTTGCCGTGTGCTGCTGCCTGAGGAGTTTGTACTAAAATGTGAACTGTTGGTTTTCTTGAAGCTGTGGTTGAAGAATATGAGAGGTTTTATAGTAAAGGAATCTTAGGACTCCTTCTGGGAAGGGGACGTGTCTATTGACATGGTTGTGTGTGTGCATATAGTGGACAAGACCATGACACATCCTGGCCCCATCCCTCATGTTACAGGCAAACGTGGGCCTAAAGGGTTAGCTCCAACACAGCAGACCTCAAAGGGGACACATAAGATATGGCTGCTGGGAATCCACATGTGGAGAACGGAGGAAGCAAATAACTAAAGTGCCTGCCAGGTGCGCACCTGGCCATGGGGATACCAGCAAGTGTTTGTATCATCCTACGCAATCCAGCCAAATCCTCACTGGTACACACAATGATGCTGTTGGCTACTAGTATCATTAAATGTGCCAGCTTCTTTTGGGTCTGCTGGTCAAGACACCTTGGCCCTGGCTTTCTCAATGAGTCAGTGCTGCACACTCAGTGATCTGGAGAAAAGCCATGTACACTATTAACCCACATGGGAAACCTTTAATGTTTACCTTTAATGTTACCTTCTGGAGCTGAGTGAAAGGCTTGATACTGCGATAGGTAATTAAGAGTTCCATTGGAACGAACCTGTTGCTACAGGCTGTGGATGTGCGCAGACTGGTCCCTGAGGCCCATGCAGCAAGCGCCACATAAGCCAGATGTCAGCTGCAGATAGCCCATGCACTACCACCAGTTCTCGGTAGAAACAGGGGTCAAAGGTTCGGAGATGCGGGGCAGCTGAAGGCTGGGCGATGCCAAAGGTGCGAAACGCTGGATGAGGCTCAGGTGTGAGCCGCAGGCGCTGCAAACACATGCCCAGAAAGACATCGTCGATGGGAAAGAGCTCAACCTGTGAGCAGGCCTCTGCTAGGCGGCGGAGCGTGGCTCCGGAAAGAACAAAGCCGCCGCCCCCCGCATAGGCCGGGTAAGCCGGCAGTCCATACACAACCTCGGGAATGAAATACTTGCTGACTCTCTTGCGGATTGGCCTTGCCTGCACAATCACATCACCGGCAAGAAGGTCCTGTGCCGGATCCCGCGGCTCCAGGAACTGCAGCAGGTTCCTCACGTGCACGAACACATCAGCATCGCCCTTAAAAACAAAGCGTACATCTGGACAGAAAGCTGAGGCCCAAGCTAAAAAGTGAATCTCCTTGAGCGTTAGATTGAAGAAGGTGTCTTCGAAAGCCCAGAGCAGAATGTCTGCATAAGCACGGCTCTCAGCTTCCAGCAGGGCGCGCCAGTGCGTCTGCGTGCCCGCCCTGCCCGAGCCGGTGCCCCTGGGCACGCCCAGCAAGAACACTCGGCGCACGAGTGCCCCCTGCACACGACCCTCGGCACCCCAAGTCTGACGTACGGCTTCCCGCCGCTCGAAGTCGGCGGCCACAGACTTGACCGCGATGAGCAGGTCCGGCGGGCCTCCAGATCCGCCGTCTCTGCGGCATTTGCGCGGCTGGTTAATGAGTAGCGGGAAGCGCCGTTGATCCTTGGCGCGCAGATACCTGCCGAAGTCAAAGGGGCCCGTAGGTGTCGGGGGCACCGGGGTGTCGTCCTCGTAGGCCGGCGGGGCCGCACGGGCGGTGTTGGGGAGCCCGCGTGCTCGGAGACCAGAAGTGGGCCGCGGGGGCTGGCCTCGCGCTGGTGGTGCTCTGGTCGTGGGGGCTGCCCCGTCGCGCTGCGCGTAAAGCAGGAGGCCGAGGGCGGCGCTGAGCAGCAGCGTGAGCCACGCGTCCCGGCCAAGGCGCAGCCTCCTCCTCATGTCCAGCCCCGCCCTTCCCGGGGTCCTCTAGCCTTCCTTCATCAGCTCTGTCGACCTCCGCCCTGGGCCCTGACGCACGGCAGCAGCCTAAGGGACAAGAAGTTCAGCTTCCAACCTCGGCCCCGGCCCAGGAAGGGTACCCAAGGCTGGGCAGGGAGACGCAGACCTCGACCCCCGACCGGGTGCACCAAAGCTGAATCCCTTCTTCCTCTTCCTCTCTCCCTCCCCGCCGCTGATCTTGGTCCTGAGGACCCCAGCACTCACGCTTGGCCGCAGGGGTGTAAAGGGGGATGTCGCAGCGCCTGAACGCAGGGAGCCCTCCAACTGTCAGCTCAGGGTCCCAAGGGCAGCCATGACCCGGGCTTGAGCCAAATGCAACGTTGGCAGGAAGGGGGCTGAGGCCATGCCACGTGATCCTCCAGCTGTGTACGCCCCGACATCTGGAGCTCAGCTCCGCCCTGGTGTAGGGAATGCCATCTCTTGAGTGCGAGCTGATTCCTAAGAGGATTTCTTACAAGCGACTCTCACTGGTCTTTTTGCTGCCTCAGATGCCCGAATTCCGTGTTTCTGAGGTTTGGGAAGTGTACATGTCTCTGGGTACCCTCTGCAGAAGGCTGTCAGAAGTCCCCATTCTGGCTGATGGGTCCCAAAACCCTAAGCTTGAGTGCCTTAACTTTCAGTTCTTTGGCCACCATCCCAGGCCATTTTTGAGAACACCTCCTCAGCAGCCCCGGGCCACCAAGCAGGAGCCATAAACTGCCCCAGTGATATATAGCTGCCTCCTTACTCCTAGCCGCCACACTTGCCACCAGTAAACGCGGCACTCACAACCCCAAGACACAAGACAGACACAAGCACAAGACAGCAAGTTCTGTTCCTACAGACTCGCCGGCAGCTCTTTGCCCAGAGAGGACCACTGCTTTGTGCGGTAAGTGACTTGGCCCAAGATGACACAGGCAGAAACCAGTGCCCCCAGGTTTCGTGGAATCCAGGAATCCCCCAGTGTTTCCTTGCCCTCTTCACCCACGGGATACAGAAAATGGAGCCACTTCCATTTACACTGATTTCCCAGGCAAGCGCTTCATTCCCGTCTTCTTGCCCAGATCCGGTTTTGAGTGTCCTGAGCCCCAACATACAGTATCCTTGCAGGTAGTAATGGCCGTGTTGTTGCTTCTGCAATCAGACTGGGCTGTCAGGGACTGGTACTGTTGGGGGGAGGCTTCTAGAAGGGGCCAAAGAGCCAACGTAGGCTGTCCCGTTTTCTAGATCTCCTGGTTTCCCTTCCTCCTTGAGCTGCTTTCATTCAGACCGTCTTATGCCACACACCCACTCTGACATGTTCACTGATCTTTGAGGGCTTTAAAGACAGGCCATGCTGGCCAGGCAGTGGTGGCGCACGCCTTTAATCCCAGCACTGGGGAGGCAGAGGCAGGCAGATCTCTGTGAGTTTGAGGCCCGCCTGGGCTACAGAGTGAGTTCCAGGAAAGGCGCAAAGCTACACAGAGAAACCCTGTCTTGAAAAACCAAATAAAAATAAATAAAATAAAAAAATAAAGATAGGCCATGCTATGTACCCCCTCAGACCCCGGAGCTGACGACCCATCTGCCTCAGCCCCCAAAATGTTGGAATTACAGGCCTGCACCAGTATTCCCAGCTCCAGGTTCATCGGAAAGTCCTGCAGGATAATCATTCCCTGTGACAAGACAATCAGGGCCTCCCCCAGATCTTCATCCCACTGGCAACTAACTACAAACTCCTGGTCATCACTTAACCCATTCCTCATCCAAGGCCACCGGCCTGTTATATCCTTCCTCCCAAATAGCTGTTGGCATTCATCCCCAGCACTCAGGAGGATCAAAAGTTCAGGGTCATTAAGTGATTGGATTCATTCAGCAAAATCCCTTGGTTTCATAGGGAATTTGATGTCAAGCTGGGCTACATGAGACATTGTCTCAAAAAAGGGGCAGGGACAAAATCCAAACAGCTGTGCATACCTGATCATACAGATGTGCAAGTGTAGTGTATGGGATCAGGAGGTGGAGGACGAATTAGAATCTGAACTTTCGCTGTTCTGTGCTTTCTCCCCAACAACTATTTGGCAGTAGTGGGCATTTATGTAGGTATGCTTTTTTGTTTTCATTTCTAATTTTTTTTAATTAGGCTTTGGTATAGTGGGTAAGGAGAAAAGGATAAAGAAGTTTCAGAAGAGCAGGAGGAAGACAGAAATTAAGAGGTTTAACATGGGGTTATTTAGAAACAACACTCCATAGGTCAGGTAATCATAGCACTCAGAGGCAGGCAGATCTCCAGAGTTTGGCCAGCCTGGATGACATAGTGAGTTCCAGGACAGCCAGCGCTACATAGTGAGACCCTATCTCAAAAGAAAAAAAGAAGCAAAGCCCCAGTGATAACAGTTGGTCCTTAATAACTGCTGTGTGTCTGTGGGAAGTAGCTTATGTGTATGAATGATTTGCTTGCTTATTCAGCTGTGCACCGTGCACATGCCAGGTGCCAGAAGAGGGCATTGGATCCCCTGGAAGTGGAATTAAAGGTGTTTGTGAGCTGCCGTGTGTGGTTCCTGGGAATCAAACCTCGACCTTCCAGAAGAACCACCAAGCCATCTCTTGAGCCCCTGAAGATCTTTAAGTTATGTATATGCATGTGTGTGGGTACATACATGTGAGTGCTAGTGCCTGAGGCCAGAACCCTAACCATGGCTGACCTGGAACTCCTCACAATTTATCTCAGGCTGGCCTCTAACCCACAGGGATCCATCTGCCTTTGCCTGCCAAGGATTTAATGATGCACCACCATGCCCAGCTCCCCAGATGATATTTTAAAAACAGACTTCCTAGCACAATTTGGTGGACAACTGTTATCACAACACTCAGAAATTGCAAGTAGGAGAATCATGAATTCTAGGCCAGCCTTAGCTACATGATGAGATTGTCTCAAAAAACAAACAAAAAACCAAAAACCGGAATGTGGCTCAGTGGTAGAACACTTTCTGGGAGCCTGGGTTCTATCCCTACCACCACAAAAATCAACCAGCCAACTACCCTAGAGTTTCTGAAGATGTGTAATTCGGGATTAAGTTCACTAGCCCAGGCTTCTAGCTTAAATAAACTTAGAAGGTTGAACTTACAAATTCTGTTGGAAGTACTAGCAAAAAAAGGGGGGAGGGTCAAGACTTTTTTGTTTGGTTGGGTTTTATTTTGGGGGGACTACATCTCAATATGTAGCTCATGCTGGCTTCCAAGTTGAAGCAATCCTCCTGCCCCAACATCCCAAATGCCACATGCCCTGTAAACGTCTGAATCTTATGCTTCAGTCTCAGTGAAAACAAGGTCAAAGTGGAAACTGAAAAATCTTAAACTTCAGAAAGTCTTGGATTTCTTAAACTGAGACCACAAACCTGGGGGTTAAGAGAAGGTGTTTTTGAGCTGCTGCATACGCTGAGAAGAATGTGATCGGAGAGTGAAACCATGTCTTGGGGCAGGAAGAGGAGATGATCACAAGGAAGCTAGCCCACCTACAGAGAAAGAGGGAGCATGGAGGTGGAGCAGGCTCAGAATTGGGGAGGGAAAGAGAAGTAGGCATTTAGGACTTAGATGAAATGCAGGCCCGGCACGGTGGCATATGTAATCTCAGCTCTTGGGTTTGAGGATGGAGGAAAAGCCTGGTCTACAGAGGGAGACCCTGAAAAGAGTGCCTGCTATAAGCCGCAAAAATATATGAAGTAGGATTTCAGCTGATTATGACAAGATAATACCTGGAAGAAACCAAGGGCCTTCCAGAGGTCAATCTGAGGCTCATGGAGTCCTGGTGATACTGACTTTTGAGTATTAGCCATTTCCTACCATGAATTTCTCATGTGTTATTATAGCTTTTCCATCATTCATTGGGCACCATTTCCTCTCTACTAAAGGAATATTTAGATAACTTTCTGTGCAGTAACGCAGCTAGGATCCCTAATTTCAGGCCTTTCTGTCATTATTGTCATTAGCAGCATCTGGCCAGGACCATCCCTGGACACACGAAAGTATCTTATTAGAGATACCTCTGCACTCTCTAAGAACAGACTTAAGCATCTAGACTATCTGTTTGAGAAGGCCTGGTGGATGTGCTAATTAAGCTTAACTTTCTTCCTTTCCCAAATCTTATCTCTAGTTTTAGATCTACCTTTAACTATTAACTCAGAACTAAAGTGTTTCTACTTACAGGTACATCAAGCTGACTCAGGCTGCTGATAGACTCTTAACACTTTAACTAACCACTTCTAAGAATATAGTTGAGCACATAAAATCCCCCTTGCTCAGATATTAACTGAGTTTAGCCCTCAGTTGATTCTATTCCCCATTAGTCACTTCCCTTTTGGGTTGCAGATGATGCTGGCAGTTACTGCTCTTTTGTGTGGGTCTTATTGCCCCTCCTTTTGACCCTGAGGGAATTCAAGCCTGGTGACCCTGCTTTAACCCGAGCATTGCTATTGCATGTGTATATAACTACAAACCTCAGAGACTTGGGAGGAAGAGATGGAGAAGAAAAAAGAGAATGGAAGAACTAGATGGGTAAGAACTGGAGGGGAATGAACTGAGATGGGGAAGAACTAGATTGAAGGGCTAGAAGAGAATAATAGAGGAATGAGAAGGAAGATGAGGAAGAGCCAGATGGGGATGAACAAGATGAGAGAGAAGGAGATGGGAGAGGAGGAGATGAAAGAGGAGATGGGAAAGAACTGGATGGATGAGAACCTAGAAGGGGCAGAACTAAGATGAGAGAATTAAGATAGAACTTAGAGAACAGTAGATAAATGTAGAGAGAAATCAAGCAAGAAAGGAGCTAGGCATGAGAGCAGAACTGAAGCTGTGTAGACAGAATTTTATCCCAGAGGAATAAAGTAGATGAACAAAGAACTCAGTGTACTTAGATTCTTTTCCCGAAAGTAATTCACACTGTTCGTAGTTTCTCTTCTGGGCCCCTGGGAAGAAGGTTACTA